ATTAGTTTTACAGGAGCCAATGCTGACATTGGCTTATTAAAATTATAACATCTGACTTGTGTTCCTGCTAAATAAATAGGCCATCTTTCTTAGCAGAGAGAAACATTGGTGTATGCTTGGGCAGGGACAAGAATTTCAGAAAGCAGTTTTGGAAGATGGTGAGCCAGGCACATTCATTCACTGTTTTTCTCTCCCAAAGACCCATTGATACAATAAAGATAACATGCATAAAGGATAAATCAATGGTGATGGTGAAAACAAGACAGTACCATCAGACTCACAAAGATTTTGACACAGTTCTCTAAGTTATAAAGTAGATAGGACTGTGGAGGAATAAACTAGAGTAGAGAAAAATGCAGCCAGAACAGAAATGGAAAAGGCTACAGTGAGAGTTCCTGACATGGAGAGCACTCAGAGATTTCAAGCTTAGAATTTTCAAGTGTAGACATCAGGAACTAACTATGCAGTGATCAGAGTATTGGACCTGTTGGGCCATTCTCTTTCTCCTGTGTATCTGGAGTAATTCCCTATAACAACAAGCTTTAGCTGATTTGTAAACATAATTGATTCTTAACCTGGTTAGGCCCCATGGTCTAAGTGTTTGGAATGGTAGAATGGTAGAGCAGATCCCAAAGTGACTGTGAACTTTTATTACTGACCTAGAGAAAGACCTAGAGAAAGTCAGCTCTACTTAGGAGTGAAATACCCTAAAATAATACAACCCCAAAGCAAAATTCTCTTTATTTGATATTCAGTTTAAAATAAAGGTACTACCTTCTCTCAACACATATATCCTAAAAGGAAGCCTGATTGTCAGCTTCAAAGAAACTATAACAGTTGTCTATACTGAAACTATCTAATCATTCATTCATGAATTTGAAGGGAGAGACAAGGGTCATCAGATTATTGAAGAAAACAGCATAAATGGGATGAAGTTGAAAAAATAGAGTAGCTTGACTCAAAAGGAACAAAAAAATTAAAAATAAAAAGAACAAAGAAGAGCTTTTAAATAGTTAGTATCCTTAGAATTGACTTCCAGCCTCTTCCTGGGACATAGGAAACTGTATAAGGTCATAACTTTTCATGAAAATATCCGAGAAATGGGTCTCAGGGCAGCCACATAGCCCAATGTGTAAGGAAAGACACGCACCTCCAGTGAGAAAGGATATGAGTACTGATCACGAACGGAGAGCACTGGAAGAAGTTAGGACCACTGAATAAGAAGGTAAAATAATTCAACTAAAGCTTTTAACAAATAGTTATGGTCCAATGTGGGCTAGTATGAAACCCTAGCAATTATAAGGCAGTTCACACTTGCTACACAACATCTGCATGGTCCTCCATTCCATATTCAGAAGGAAGGTTGTAGGCAGGGCAGTTAATCCAAGGTTTACATCTGGAAGAGGGGAGCAAATACTATTGCAGGAAAAGCATAGTCTTTCTCTAAGAACAAAAGCATTAAACTTCTGGGAGAAGAGCTTCAAACTCTGCAGGCCCGAGAACAGATAAAAACTTCTTGTGATTAGCTGAAAAATAGCCAAATGCATAATTATAATTAGAAACTCTAATACCCATCTCTCAGTAATTGATAGAACAGATAGAAAATCACCAAGAATAAAAGACTTCAAAAACACTCTCAAATTACCACTCCCCTGAACTCTACCAGATTATACTTTTTTTCCTCAAGTATACTTGGAACATTCTTTTAGACCATATTTGGTATCATAGAACTTGTTAATAAATACAAAATAATTGAAATCATACAAAGCATGTTCTCTCACCAAAACAGAAATAAGCTAGAAGTCACTAATTCAAAGATATCTAGCAAATTTCAAATACTTAGAAATTACCCAGCATACCATATTAACTCATGAAACTGTCACATATGAACATGTGAAGGGATGCAAGCTTAGAGGAAAGTTAAACATTTGAAACTTGCATTAGGAAAGAAAGATCTTCAATCAATAATCAATAACTTAAAACTAGAAAATAAATCAGAATGAAGGGGGAAAATGAAGGATAGAATTCTCTGAAATTGAGAACAGAAAGAGTAGAGGATATCAATAAAACCAAAAGATAGTTGTTTGAAAAGATTATTAAAATAACCTATAGTCAGACTGAAYAAGTTGAAAGAAAGCCAGCACAAATTACCAATATCAGGAATGGTAGGGAGAATCATTACAGATTCTACAGAAAGTAAGATGTTAATAAAGTTGTTATTTCAAATAACAATATGGTAGCATGTCACAAGGACACTGGAGCCTATATATTTACTATATATAAAATAATTATATAATAGTAATGAATTATAAATCATTGAAAAATAAAGAAGAATCCATGATTCCTCACTGGTAATAGTTAAGGGAAAAGGTAGAAGGACTCTTACTTAGAGAAGAAAGCTGAGTGCAACTAATAAATATGGAGGTTGTACTGGAGTTGGGCATTATTTTGCAACTGTGTAGGAAAGATTGATTCCAGCAAAAATCACAGATAAATGCTAAATCTAGGAAGAAATTTAGATGAGAAGCAGGAGATGTGTGTGTGTGTGTCTTTGTGTGTCTGTGTGTGTGTGTATTTAGATTCACATTTTTTTTTTTTTTGGTAGTGATGCTGGGGATAGAACCCACTTTAACATCATTACTTCCAACTGTGACATCTTAGAAGGACACAATATCAAAAACCCTCCATAGAGACATCATTTCCACGGTAGTATTATTCCTTTTAGAATTTAAGTTGAGTTTTCTGAGGTATCTTCATATATTTAGTTTTTATCTGCCTGAGCCTAACCCCAACTTATTCAGTTTTATTACAGAACTCAACCTGTAACCAGTGAACTGTATTCCTTTAAACAGAAAAGTGAACTTGATATGTGTTGGAGGGATGATACCAGTGTGATTTCTAAGTCCTTGAATCTGATGAAGCCTATGGAAAATTATAGCCTCTCCAGTGACCCTTTTCTGGATTTGGATCTGCTCTTTTTATTTGAAAATCATTTCAGACTTACAGAAAATTTACAAGAAAAAGAATACAGAGAACACCTATAGTTTTCATCCACATTTTTTGTTTACATATTAACCTGTTAGCTAYTTAGAAATTATATTTAATTTTCTTTTCTACCACATTTGCAAGGATTTTACCCTTTAGTCATGTAATTATATACTCTAAACCATTTTCAAAATTGAGCAAAATATATGTATATGTATTTTGAATCCCATTCTGTCTTGGATCCCTATTTGTGGTTTTGCTACCACTGTTAGAGTTGAGGCAGCCTAATGTATTGGGGATGAAGGGTAATACTGCAGATTTTTATACTGGTGGAAGAATTCACAGACTTCTCTGTTAAAAGTATATAGGTGTGGGTATCAACTTAAATGCTTACAAAGTCATTACGGTAAAGGTCTAGGAGGGATTATAGTAAGGGCTAAAGAAGATAAGTGGTGGTCCTTGATTAAGTTGTGTTCAGGGGCAGTTTTCTATTTACTGAACTTTAAAGTTGTGAAATGAGAAGAGTGTTTAGAAATGTGATACAACTGCTTAAGTTGGTGGATTTAGTGTTAAGGTTCTGTTTTAGTCAGCTTTTTTGCTGCTGTGACTAAATGACCTGACCAGAGTAATTGTAGAGGAAGAAAAGTTTATTTGGGGGCTCACCATTTCAGAGGTCTCAATCCACAGACAGCAGGCTCCATTCCTCAGGGCTTGAGGTGAGGCAGAACTTCATGGTGGAAGTGTGTAGTGGAGGGAAGCAGCTCACATGATGATCAGAAATCAGAGAGAGACTCCACTTGGCAGATTCAAAGTATATACCCCAAAGTCACGCCTCCMATGCCCCACCTCCTCTAGCCACACCCTGCCTGCCTTCTGTTTCCACTCAGTTAATCCATATCAGGGGATTAATTCAGTAATTGGGTTAAGGCAGTTACAACCCAATCATTTCTCCTCTGAACTTTTTGCATTATCTCACAAATGAGCTTTTGGGGGAAACCTCACATTCAAACTATAATAGGTCCAAACTGTGTATTTTGGTCAATTATCCAATTTTCTTTTTTCTCTGTAAAAATAGGAGGTGTGCAGAGAGTTGAGGATCTTTTTCTTATTGGGTCACAGTTCACAAAATTAAACTCCTTTGTAAAATATAAAACATATTGTGTTAAAATCTAAGTGTGTTTCTCTGTGCTTGAGGACCTCCTAATTTGTAATAACCCTAGACTGTCAAGAATGTAAGAGGCCCTCATTTTTTCAGAGTAGAAAGATATAAAAGGATTTTATGATTACAAAAATGGAGGTTCCAAAAACTGATATAAACACAACATTCCGGGATATAAACACAAATATTAATAATTAAAAATCTAAAGCAAACACTTAAAGGCAATTAAATATTCTGTAATAGGATTGGGATACGAAGGTAGCAGATGAAATGTGGAATCTTCCTATAATTCACATCTATGAAGTTAAATTTTATATAGGCATGACTTTGGACTGTCTGTCAACAAGTAAGAATGCTCATGACATAATATTGAAAATTCAGAACACATATTTCCTATAGCCTGTGATTCTCACTAAAACTATTTGTATTAAAAGCAAGATGAAAGTTCATGGAAACTACTAATATTTATGAACTATATTATAGTAATTAAAATGCAAGTAATTTTCCCTGTTCTATATTTTGTATTTTCAGTAATGTTCTTATATAGTATTTATGGCTGAAAAGAAATTAACCACTCTCTTTTTAAGTGAAGCCTGAATTTTGAGATCTTATCCAAGTTTCTTGTTCATCAGTCCAGAAATTATGGATAGAGATTTTTAGACCCCCTGCTAGGTTCTTGCTAGGGGCTGGACTTAGGTGAAAATTGCAGACGTCTATGCCCAACCTGCTTTGCCTTCTTATTCTTTTTATTTCGCTGTCACTGACAGGGGACTGGACTCTACCTGTGTGGTTGTGGTTGCATAGTCCTATCTGCAGTGTTATATCTGGACTTGTCTCCCTTCATCTCTCTTTCTAGGAAGTGCATTTTCAACTGAGCACCTCAAGCTTCAGCTCCAGAAGGAATCCCTAAATGAGTTGAGGAAAGAGTGCACTGCAAAAAGGTAAATTCGACACTGAGAAAAATTGCTATGAGGGTTGAGTTTATCAGAGATATGACACTGTTCTAAATTCCCTGGGCCACAGTACCATGGCATAATGTTTGAATCTTCTTCCTGTCATCTATATACAGCTTAGCTTGTAGTTTTTTACTTTAATAGTTTCTTCTGTCCCACTCCTGCTTCTTGATAACTCATTTGGTTTACCTCAGCAGCACTTAGAAAATTTCTCTACCCTCGATTTCTCTACCTTTATAGTCATCCCTCCATGATGCTCTCAGACTTCTCTTCTTAAAATAATATTTTTAACATATTTTTTTCTTCTTTCTATGGTGAATCTTTTCCTCAGTTTTCACATAGGCTTCAGTCACTTGTCATTATACAACTACAGTTAATTTTAGGTGCTCCCTAACATAGAAAGATGCTAATAGTTTTTCCCAACATATTTCTTGATTAATTCATTGCCACCTCACTTCCTTTGTTCATCTAGATTCACTTTCTTGGAGTCTTTCCATCTTGCACTTTTCTCTGAAAAACCTTAGCAATTGAATATTCAAGAATATTAAGACCAAAAAAGAAACAGAGACCATCATCTATCCTAATCTTCAAATTTGCACAGAGGAAAGCAACTCTGGGAACTGACCTGTCCAGCTCACTAGCAAAGCCAGAACTAGAGCCCATTACATCTTCAGTGCTGTTTATATAAGAGGAGAAACAGTTCTTTTCCTACTCTCACATATAACATTTAATGCCATATTCTCCAGCAAATGCCAACAGGTATCCTATGATTTAATACCATTCTTATACTATCTGCCTGAAGATGTAATTATCTATACTCAGTTCCCAAGACCCCCAACCCACCCTGCAATTAGATACTAATCACAAGACCCAGACTGTGACCTGTGCTTCTGAATTAACTGAGTTCCCACAGACCCCTCCTCTGGTTTGATTAATTTGTAATTTACTAGAGTGGCTCACAGAACTCAGGGAAACACTTGGGTTTACTGATTTGTTATAAAGGTTATTACAAATGATACAAATGAACAGGCAGATAGGAGAGAGGCATTGGGCAAAGTATGAGGGAAGTTCTATGCCTACTCTGGTATGCCATTCCTCAGGACACCTCCACAATTTAGAAACTTATCATATCTTGCTCAAAAGTTTTAAAGCACTTAATTTCCAGCCGTGATCTCCTTCATCATCATCTTAAGAGATTGGTGGGTAGGACTGAAAATGCCAGCCTCCTAATGAATTGGTCTTTTTAGTGACCAGTTCTATCCTTAGGTTGTCTAGATGCCTCCCACCCTAAGTCACCTCATTGYCATAAGCTTAGGTATGATCAGTGTGGGCTTAAATGAATAACAAAACAATACTCTTTTCACTTAGGAAATTCCTARGGTTTTAGGTGTTCTGTGATTGGGACCTAGAACTAAGGCCATATGTATTTCATACTATATCAAAGTGTTCCTCACCTTTTCCATTCTATACCTTTTCCATTTCACTTTGACCTATAGTTTCTTCTACATTATTTTGGTTCTTAAATTTTTGATGTCTTTTAATTGAGCAGGTAATTTATTCTATGAGTATTTGGTCATATTTGTGTGTGTATATGTGCATGTGTGTGTGTTTTTTGCTGGAGATGAATCCCAAGGTCTCCTACATGCAAGCACTCTAGCATTGAACTACCTCCCCAGCCCTGCTGGTCATATTTCTGGGTCGTTTCATGCTACAGCTGTTTGCTTATTTGTTCTTTGTTACTTTTCTAACCTTGTAATAGGGTGAAGAATAGTTTTTGTTCTTGTTGTTGTTGTTTGTTTGTTTTCTGAGAAGCACCATATGGATCTTTCCTGAAATCAATTGGCCTCATTAATAATGTCTACAAAACCTTGCTCAGTTTACTCAGCCCCTTTAAACCTTGTTTCCTTATTTATAAATGGGCATCATAATATCAACCTACTAAAGTTGAAATAATTAAATAAAGCCATTTGTAAAGCTCTAGGTACTCAGTGAATTGTTATTTGTGCACTTTACATTCCTTAGCATGGTGCTGGGCATACACTATAGCCCTCATTTTGTAGTTAGCTTAATTGATATTAGAGAGAGTTCAGGGCTCATGGGTATTATTTGTACCTCTACTTTTTAATTTTCTGTGGCCTATAGACCATTTAATCTTTTTCTGCATTAATTACGTAGAATAAATGTTAAAAAAGCATGCATACATGTTTTTTAATGTTATTGGTATATATTATACAGAATAGTATATTTTATTGTGATATATTGGTAAATGCACATAATGTAATTTGAGTAATTTCATTTGCCAGTCCCTCTCCTTGCCCTCCCCTCCAACCTCCTCCTAATTCTCTTTCTCTATCTTCATGGTCTCCGTTCTCTTTTTGAAATCCCTTTTTTTTCTCTCTAGCCTATACATACAAGAGAAAACATGAGCCTAGTTTATTTTGCTCAACATGATGCTCATTAGATTCATCTGTTTTGCTGCAAATAACTTCATTCTCCTCTTCCTCCTCCTCTTTAAGACGAATAAACTCCATTGTGTTATATATTCCCACATTTTCTTTATCCTTTCATCTATTGACGGACACCTGGGTTGGTTCTGTAACTTGTCTATTGTGAATGCAATCATATTTTCTAATAAGTACTTGTTTTCTTTCCTCATTAGAGAACTCTTTCTGAAGACTAATGCTCAGTTGACAATTCGTTGTAGGCAGTTACTTTCTGAGCTTTCCTACATTTACCCTATTGATTTGGTAAGTTTCATATTTTCTGAAAAGATTTATCTTTTTGAAAAGATGATCTCCATTTGAAGTTTACTCTCAATGAAAAGCTCATTAGTCTTAATCCCATATGCTCCCTTATGGCTCATTCAGGAGCTAGTATCTGTTTTAAATGTAAATTAATACTTAGTTGGCATTAGCATCTGCTGTTTAATTTTTTTTTAAATATCATTTTGGTTGTGAGATGAGATTCATCATAGAAAAATGCCTTTTGTTTCTTTATACTCTTTTTAGTTAACCAGATTATCCACTACTACCATTTCTGATATCTACCTGCAGATGCATGTACAGTGCCTCAAAAATATAATTGCTAATTCATTTATATTTATTGGTGTTCATTAAGATATTCCTGGGGGTGACTGTCTGGATGTTACATTTTTAATTAGCTTCTTAAAATAAATATAAAAAGTAAAACTTATCTAAAACTAATTAGATAAGTTGTGCTGAGGATTGAACCCAGCTCCTTACATGTGTTGAGCGAGCACTCCACTGCTGAGCCCCAGCCCCAGCCCCAGATTTCTTTTTTGTAAAACCGAATCCTTTAGATTTGATAGTTCTCAATGAAAATTGATGTAAAAGACTAATTTTCAGAGAAAACGACAAACAGGATTTGAACTTGCTCACAGAATCTTGTTAAATCATTTATAGATAAGAATCAGTTAGAAAATATTTTTATGATAATAATATTTCATGGTTTTCCCTAGACATGATGTCTTAAACATTTTTATTACAGAAAATTTGAAGTATGTATAACTACAGGAAGATAGAATATTGAATCATCATGTCTCATCACCCTGTTTCAACAAATATAATAATATTTAGAGTCTAAGACTGCATTATATCTAAGTCAACTGTGACCTGCTAAAGTTTCTTTGCTTTATATATAAAAAAATTAATTTCATTTTTTGGTTAAATTCACAGAATGAGCATAAGGATTATTTTGTATGCGGTGTCAAGTTACCTAATTCCGAGGATTTCCAAGGTACTTTATTTCTATTTTACTTCTAAAGATTTGGTGTATGTAATATATGAGGATAGAGATATCTTGAAATGTTGTTTGCTTGGCACTTTGTCCATAAGTGGTTTTGCACCTTCTGTCTCCTCCCACTTAGAAGAATGTAGGTCATATTCACTAATAGAAGATATAACAGAGGTTTAATTTTGGAAAACTAATTATTGTAACTTGCATTTGAAATTTAAAACAAAATCATTTTTAAATGAGCTTTCAGCAAATCAGGGAATTGGGTTCTTAAGAATACAAATAATCTCCCTACCCTGTTGATTTGATTTTCATGAAAAATTGTATGTGGTTGGCAGCAGAAGAAAAGCAAACGTTTATCTGTACTATTTTTTTTTTTACAAAGCTCTATTCTACTAACCTGAAAAGTATTACAAATTTAATTTTGTGACATTCCTGCTATCATAGGTTTAATTTGTTGTACTATCATTTCTCTCCTTTTACACACAGGTGTTATGGAATATGATTTACAATAATTCCTACATTTTAAAATCTTTTCTGCTTTCTAATCTCCCCAACTATGCCAAGGAAAAAAGATTCTCAAAATGGTTTCTTTTCCTTTAGTATAAATGATGCCTTGAGACCTACTAAATATCTTTATAAATTATTCTCAGAGCTAACATATTAAACCTGTTTGGGTAGTTATACAAGAAGGGAGCCTTACTAGTTTTGATCAGGATTTTCTTCCATTTCCCTTTAAAGACACTATTAATATTTGTGGTCCTTGAACATTTAAGACTGTTTTAATTTATTATCCTCTTCAGCCTTTACAAGAGGTAGTTGGGTCATAATGTAAAGAGAGTGGTAAACTAAGAGTTGGAAAACCTTTGTTCAACTCCTGATTCCCCTTCCATGAACCATGTAGTTTGGAGGAAATCATGTATGTAACCTTTGAGTTGATTTCCTAATCAATGGTATGAGGATATTATATCCTACCTGTCTTACATGATTGTTGTAAAAATTGAGATATACCAGTATTTGTAAAAGCATGAGATATTGCTTTATATTAATCCTCACAAAACCAAAGGAAGCCTATAAGGAAAGTGGTATTCAGTGACTTGTTCAAGACTACAGAGCTAGCTGGTGATAGAGCTAAGATTTATCTGGTTGCCATTGTTGCCTTCAGATTTCTATAGGTCCCACAAAATGTGCTTTGGTATTAATTTTGGGCACAGTGGTAGCTTCTTGAAGCTATTGGCACATCATTTTCCTCATTCATTCATTGAAAAAATAATTTGTTGAACACCTATATGGCCGGCACTGTGCTGAATTTTGAGGATATAATAATGAAAAAGCAAACATTCTCTCCTTTCATGGAGCATACAGCCTATTGAAACAGACCAATGAATAGGAAAATAAGAATTAATAAGCATTTAATCAAGGGATATATTATCTTAAAGAATGAAGAAACCCCCTTTAAATAAAGCAATCAGAGAAGACCTCTCTGAAGAGAAACATTAAATAGAAATCTTAAAGACTAAAAGGAGCCACTATACTACAGCTTGGGGTATTCCCAGAACAGAGAGCATTAAGTACAAAAGTCATGTTGGAGGAGGCATGAGTTTGACATACCTGAAAAAGTTTGAAAAAGACCCCAGGCCACAGGTATGGGAGAAAAGATTTTCATTTAGGTAAATCATGTAATCTCGCAGCTTAATTTCCTTACCTGTAAAATGAGGTCATGTTTATATTTTTAATCCATTGTGATGATGGGATGAGATCACATTAGAAAGAACTTCTCAGATAGGAGGTATGCAATAAATATAATGGAATTCATTGAAAAGGAGAGAGAAAGGAAAGGAATGAAGGAAAGATCAAACCATCTAGATCTACGTGGCCAGAACACAGTGAACAAGGCGAAGAGTTCTGTTAGCACTGGAAGGAGGGGTCATCCAGGACTTGGAGGTCACGCTAAAGAAGTTCCATTTTATTCTCAATGAAGTGGGCAACGCCTGCAGGTTTCAAGAAGGAGAATGACGTGAGCTAAGCAATGCTTGTAATAGTCATTCTGACTGCTAAGTACAGAATTATTTGAAGAAGTAGTAAAACTAGTAAGGGAAGCGGAAGAGCAGTAGTGGTGGTCTGTTAACTTTAATCTACTGGTGGTGGTGGGGGTCTTGGTTCTATTTTCCTTTTCTTTCAAGTGCCTTGTTTCCTAGTTTTTCATAGCTTTTATACTACATTTAGAATGCCTAATTAAGCCCATATACATTCTCCCTTACCTTTAAAAAATTAATGTAACCTTTTAATGCAGTTGCTGAAAAATGAAATGGGAGATAAAAATAAGTTTAATTTTATGCTAAGGTCCTATTCATTCCCTATAACTTCTAAGAATCAGAAATTTTAAGAAGCATGTATAGTAGTACTGGACTTTAAAATTTTAATTTTAGCACTCTGCAAGACACTTCAATATGGTAAATGTGTTGAGTGCCTGTTTCTTATCTGCTATGCAGGTGCTGAGAATAAACAAAGAAAATTAGGACATTGATCCAAAGTTAATGAGAATAATAGTCTTATTGAGAGCATTATATTTGTAATCAAACCAGTCAAGAAATATTTACTGAATCTATACTCTATATTAGGCACTTAGAGGGTTATACCAGGTACTTGGGATTCAAAGAAATAGGAATAATCAATTCTACCAGGAGGGGATGAAGAAAACTTTATAGAGAAGACGATGCCTGAGCTATCTTAAGAAATAGCTGTTCCCCTGGGGAAAGAAGCATGGGAGGACATTTTAGGTTGGGTGAGCAGAAATGTGGTAACTTGGGACATCATGCATGATGTCTTCAAATTTATTACTTTAATCTCATAATTATGAGAATTAATGCCTCTGTGAAGAAAGGAATTACTCTAGATATTTTTTAAAGACAAGAACTTGGGGCCCAGAGAGATTGATTTTTACAAGGACTCATATTAACAGTGATAAAGCTAAGGTTAACACTAGTGTTCCTTATTCTAAGCTCTATATTATTCCTGCCATGGTGTCATTTCCTTCTTTGCTTTGAATAGTAACCTCTTCTAAGCCTCTGACAACTTTTTAGTATTCTATAGCAGCTGCATACTGGGAGACACTATAGTGAAGGAACTCCAAACTGGTCACTCCTGTGCTATTCATGAGACTTCCCTGGATAGACTTTATACTGCATAGGTTGATACTATTTGGGAAACTCCCAACATAGGGGCCCAACACAGCATTCATTGTGCTTTTCCAAATGGGTAAGTTCTTGTTAGAGTATGACAAAGAGAACTGGACACAATGGAAGAAAACTGTGAAGGGTATTCATCTGAGTTCCATTGACTAAGACGTTTAGCTTAAAAAAAAAAAAAAAACAATGTTTTTGCGTGTGTTTTTAAGTAATCCATAACACGAGAGCCTTTTGTGGTAATGAGACCCAGATTTCCTTCTGTGTCTGTATCCCTTTATGCAGGCATGATTTCTTGGAAAGGAGAGTCCATATGTCAAACAGTGTCTCATTGAGAACATGGACTGATTCCATAGATGCTGTGGCAGTGATTAGAGTCTTAAATATTTTGTCCTGTCTGGATCAGTGGGTGCTTGGTTCCTTAACAAATCAGCTGCCTCAGTGATTGGGAAGGCAGGATGGTAAGAGCTTTTAGATCACTTATTGTACTTGGATGCATTTGAATATTAATAGTTTGTCCAACATATAAATCAAAGGAACATTTGAACTAATTTATGTTATGGCCATTGTGTGTTTGTAGGATTTATTGTCATAAAAATTACACAACAGCTGCAGCCTTGAGTGGCTTCCTATATTTAAAACACAAGTCAGAAATATTTATTATGGGGAAACTGTGGGCTTTTGTTTTGTTTTTAAGTTCCTTAAAACATTGTCTGAATTAGTATCTTTTTCACATACCTGAGTCTTACAGTTCATTCCTGTTCTTCCCCGGACCTTGATTCCCCCTCCAATTTCTTCTCACCAACAAAACTATCATCTGTGACCTTTCTAACCCTCAGAGCAGTATAAGAAATACAAACCTCTGCTCTGCATTAGGTGTTACGGACGTCATTAATGCTTACTGGAAAAGTACACCCAAGAGGGCCATGTTTTGGCTTTGGCAGGTAAAAAGTCTTTCAGATCTTGGAATGCTGGAAACCTTAAACCTTTTGGTTTTTTAGCTAAAGTGATTGGCAACAGAATGTGACATCTGAGGTTGCATGGCCTGCAATACCCATAATTAACCACATGAGTTCACATTTTCCCACAGGAGGCTCAGTGGTCTTGGGGTGATGAAAGTGACTTCCCTACCAGGAGGTGGTTTTCCTTTTGAGGGTATTGCAATACCCTTGAGTCCTGTAATGCTTCACCCATAGTCCTTTTAAAATGCTTTTTAATATAAAGCCTCAATATTGGAAATCCAACACCACAGTGTTTAACAGTAAGGCTGTGATGGAGCACTGTGGCCTGAWATGGGAAACAACCTAGGGTTTTTAATAGGTGGAGCGGGGAGTCTTGTGGCAACAATGATGAGTGTGAATAACTTGAATCAAAGCAGATTTCCAATATTATTTCATTTTCATTGTTTGCTATTTCCTTTTTGGTTTTGATTTCTATGTGTAGGCTTCTCTTAGAGATGCCATTTTATCTTTAAAAATTTAAGCAAAGTTATTTTGTTAATTGGGGGAGGTAATTTTAAAAGAACACTTCTTTGTTCTTTTAAGAAAGATGTGTAATGTAGTCTCAAAATATGCAAATGTGGTTCTTTAGTTGAGGGTTTAGCACTGGATAGATTTTTTTTTAAACAATCGTAGTTTTCTTTTGACCTATGTGGAAGTCAGATGAAGAGGATTCTTGTTGCTTTCTGGAGGTTTTCAAATCCATTTCTGTCAGGTCATGTTGAAAAGGAAAAACCTCGTATAAAGCACACATAGAAAAGTCCCAATTTTTCACAATACTATCCTTCATTATTCTAAGTCCTCTTCTTCCTTTCTTCCTTCTAAAGAAGATTCTTAAAGTCCTTTTACTCATAGAAATATTTTTAGTTTGGTAAGCTCTGTTCTTTACAGAAAGTAGGAAGCAGGTTTCCGCAACCTGGGAAAGAACTCACAGTCCCAGCTGTGCCACCAGACCTAGGTATTTTTGGAGCAGAGATARTCTGAGGTGTGGATGCAATTCTCCCACTTCCATCACTGTGATTTTTACCTATATGACTTTGACCAAGCCATATCCCCTGGACCTCATTTTTCTCCTAAGTTAATAGTGTCAGACTCAGTGGTTTCTAAGGTTTCTCCTAGCTCTGATATTATTGGATGATGAATTCATAATTTTAGTTTCTTAGGTAGTGTGACATACAGGTTTTGATAGAAACACAGTGTTGAATATAAATCAAGGTACTTGGGAGGGACTGAGGCAAAAGGACATGGTTTCTAAAAATAGAATTCTAGCTAGTGAGGACATGACTTAGTGGTCAAATGAATATTGTTAGTTTTTTTTTTTTTTTCACGAGTTTGTTTTGAAAGAATGGCAAACGTGGGTTGAGAAACCCCTTTTCTGTCAAGCACTATACAGATCATCGAGTACTCAGATTTTTGTGTATTCTTTGCCCTTACTAGAGAAGTATGAAGTAATTACATGAGTTTCATAAGCTTGGCATATCCCAAGCTCCCAAGTTAAATTATGGCATATTAGTTTTTTAACTTTAAAGTTCTAAGACAGGATGGTATAACTGATATAGTAGTAGTAAGGATGGAGGATTTAGCATCAGGCCAACTAATTTACTAGCTGTATTACTTTGGACAGCTTCCTTAATCTCTTTGAGCCTTGTTTTATCTGTAAAATGAATGAAATGGCATTAAAAAGCTATCTAGTTTAGTAATTCTTGGTGAATGAATTATTTTCAAATATAAGGTACTACATTTGATTCTGGACAGAAGAAAAATATATAATTGTAAAAGTAACCTGTTTTTTATTGGATGATCAAAGAGAACCCAGCAGTCTGTTATGGTAGCAAGAGTAGAGAATTCACTGAGCAATGGATAGCTGTAGTAACATCCTTACCATAAGAAAACAGAGCTTAGATAATTAAATATAAGTACAAAAGGATGTGAAAAGTATTATTAATAATTGAAGTTGAAGGTGCCCTTAGAACTCAGGGAATGGTCAAGCCATGGTCATCTCAATCATTTTAGCCCTTCTTCTCTAGACAGCTGGGCCAGTCCAGATTAATGTAAAATCTTTTAGTAGGAGTGTATGTGCAAGGATGTGTGTGTGTGTGTGTGTGTGTGTGTGTGTGTACTTTATAACTTATTTTAGGAATACTGTATACCAAGCAGTTACTTTTTCCTTCCTTCTGGGGAAGTTCAAAACTTTCTGTTGCATTATTCTAAGTTCATCATTTATCCCTTGATAGGTAGGGGCAGAAATCTGGATAATGAGTTTTATAATGTAATTATTCTTTTTAAGAAGCTACATGCTTATGTTTAACTGTGTGACACAAGCATGTTTTAGCAATAACTTCCCCCTAAATTGCATACATAGGTTAGTGTATAAACAGTGTGGGTTCCTCTCTCCCCCACTGGGGATCGAACCCAGGGACACTTAACCATTGAGCCACATCTCCATCCCTTTTTTGTATTTTATTTAAAGACAGGAGCTCACTAAGTTGCTTGGGGTCTCACTAAGTTTTTGACTTTTCACTTTTGCTGTTTAAAATATTTTTATCATGCCAGGCACACGCCTGTAATACCAGTGACTCAGAAGGCTGAGGCAAGAGGATTACAAGTTCAAAGCTTAACCTCAGCAACTTAGTGAGACCCTAAACAACTTAGCAAGGCCCTGTCTTAAAAAGAACTGGAGATGACTGGAGATGTGGCTCAGGGTAGAGCATCCATGGGTTCAATCCCTGGTACCAAAAATAAATAAATAAAATATTTATTTTCTTTTAGTCCATTCTCAAATATCATAGATTTATTCATGTAACCCTTTCTCATATAAATAAACATATCCTATAAGGAATATACCATGCCGTTTTACTGCACTTCAGAATCAATGTTGCATAATAGCACAACACTATAACTATATTGCTTAGAAAGTTGTTAATGAATAATATATAAAATGATTATATAGTGTTAAACCTCTGAAACTAATTTTCACATTATGTAATAGTTTCAAGCATTAATTCCCCTTTTAAAAATGCTCAGAAAGGAAATAATAGGTATTTGGATACACTAAGAACTCTTGCTTAAGGTATATGTCTGTAAATATGATCATTTAATTAGTGAGAAATACTTTTAAATATAGATAGTAGATAAAGTTTCAAGTCTAAAATGTGTTTAGATTTGTATAAAATTTATATAATTAGATAAGTGATTAATATCTTATTTGTAATTTATTTTTATAAATCTCCTTTGAAATTAATTTATTATTATCTCATAGCCACATTTATAAGGTAACATTTATAAGGAATTTATTATTATCTCATAGCTACATTTATTATTATCTCATAGCTACATTTATAAGGTAAATGGTTGTTTTCTTTTCCTCTGCTTTCGAATTTACAGCAAAAGATGATGGAAGCATTGCTGTTGCCCTTGGTTACACTGCACATTTGGTCTCCATGATTTCCTTTTTCCTACAAGTGCCCCTCAGATATCCTATAATTCATAAGGGGTCTAGATCAACAATCAAAGATAATATCAATGACAAGCTGACTGAAAAGGAGAGAGAGTAAGTGTCTTTTTTTTCATGTTTTTAAAATGAAGCCTAGATGAAACATGGGGTATATTAAAAATATAAAATGTGACCTAAATCTGGCAGTTTTTATATAAATTTGGTTAAGTGCTCCATTTCTTTTAGCTTCCAAGATCAGATGAGATCGGACACATGCAGGGTGGTATGGGTGTAGACTCCATTTCTTTTAAATATAATACAGTTATTCATTTAGATTCTAGTGGTTCAAGTCCTATACTTCAAAAAATTGCTGATGTTAGCAAAACTGACTCATTTGCTTTACTTTTGTTGAGGGTCAATCTCTTATGCTGTGTAAATATTTACAATACCTGTTGCCTGTCACTTAATAAGTGAAATGATTAAAAGATTTGTCAGAGAGACAAGTAGGAAAAAGATAAAAGGCTTAGCAGCACATTGAACATAACTGAAAAGTAGATCAGTAACTGGAAGATAGGGCAGTAAAAAAATATGAAGAGTGCCTGATTTACAATAATTCAACTGATAATTTTTTGACTTTACAATGGTATAAAAAGCAATATTCATGCAATAGAATCTATATTTAGAATTTTTAATTCCTAATGTGTTCCCAGGCTAGAAATATGCAGTGTGATACTCTCTTGTGTGAGCTGGGCAGCAGCAGTGAGCTGTAGCTGCCAGGCAGCCACAAGATTAAGAGGGTAACAGCTGATACTCTACAGTGTTCTGTATTACTAAGCTATGATGTTTGGTAGGTGTATTAAATGCATTTTCAATTTGAGGTATTTTTAATTTATGATGGATTTGTTGGAAGATAACATCATTGTAAGTCAAGGAACATCTGTATTCTGACCAAAGCACAAAGAGCAAAAAAGATGGAATATAAAGTGCAAGACATGTAGGACTCAATAGAAATGTCTAATATATGTATATTTGTGGTCATAGGAAGGGTGGAAAGAGCACCAGGTAAACACAGTAATTCAAGAGATAATGATTGAGAATATTTCAAATTTAACCAAAGAAATCAGTTTACAAAAATCAGTTTTCAAAAAACACTAAATATAAAACATAATAACGATCAAGAAAATATACGTAGGAATATTTAAACAGATGAAAACACAATACAAAATGAAAATATTAAAAGCAACTAAAGAGAAAAAGACATGGTAGTACCAAAAGGTTTATAATAAGACCAATAGCTACATTCTTAGAAGAAATAAGTTTAAGTACAAAGGTGATACAATGACATTTTAAAGTATTAAAAGAAAGTCATTGCCAACTTATAATTCTATACATAGTGTAGACTAAACGACATACTGATGAAAAACCAGAAAAATGGACATGCAAGAAGGAACAAAGCATCAAAAAGTATAAATACAAGTATATTGAAATTAATTTTGAGTATGAAACAAATTAGTAATGTCTTATTGAATATAAGACACCCATACACAAAGTGTATGTAGAATCATTATAATGCATGATTCTAAGACAAAAGATAAGATGGAGTAAAATGGAATTAAAGTACTCTTAATATTCTAGCTTTCCTTAGACAGTGGCAAAGATAGTAATTTGTTATACTCTCATAAATCAAGGATGCATGTTATAATCTCATAATCATTAAAAGAGTTGTTTTGTGCAAGCGAAATTTTGTAAAGGAGATAAATTGATACTTGATTTATTAATGGAAGGCAAGAAAAGAAAAAAAGTGAACATTAAATTAAAAAAACATTATTTCTGTTTCTGTGATATAAATGGAAAACAAATAGTAAATTTGCAGTTATAAACCCAAATTTATCATGTAATTACCTTAAATGTAAATGATATTGATATTCTTAAAAATGTTGTCACACTAAATAAAAAAGTAAACTCATCCTGCTTTCAAGAGTACTTTAATTAAACCAGAAATATTGAAAGAAATATTATCCAAATGAGAGCTAATATAATTATACAAATATTAGACAAAGTAAAATTTAAGGAATTTAAATAATGTGGGGCATTTTATGACAGTACAGTCAATTCTAAATATGTATATTTATCTGTCTAAAAATATAACTTCAAATATAGACAAAAATTCACAACTACAAGGAAATCTAATGGTAGAGGACTTTAAATTTTCTTTCATTAACTATTATTAGAAAGAAGCAGGCAAAAATTAATATTTTAAAAATTTGAACAGTACAATTACTAAAGTAGACCTAAGCATGTATAAAGAATATTGCAACAGAAGGTTTTAGGATGTATTTTCCTGGCACACATGGCACATATGCCAAAAATGGTTATTCTGGGTCTCAAAACATTTCAAATAAAAGGAAATTTTAAACTGAATGACAATGAGAATATAGCATGTCAGAGTTGTAAGGTGTAGATCATTTAATTCTCTATCTAAAGCCACACAAGAACAGTCAAAGTAGCGCTTGAAAAGTAAAAGGAAGCAAATAATAAAGATGAAACTGGAAATTAAATGAATAATTATGCAATGGGGAAAATAGTAAAGGCAAAAGTTCTAGACCCAAAATCAACTAGATTGATAAGTCCTTTAATAGGGTTAATTTAGAAACTGAAGAGACAAGGCAAAATGACCAGTATGAGAATGAAAAAAAGAACAACACTAGAGAAAATAGACAGGTATTTAAAATTAAATGGCTAAATTTCTAGAAAAACACCAAATTTCTAGATTTATGCTGGTGTGTGAATAACTGGAATTTAGAAAACACCACACTAGGCTAAAGGGAAAGGGGATATAGAATAACCTAAGACCTTATTCTCATCACTGGCTGCACATTAAAGTCATCTGGGAAGCTTCTAAACATGATCTGATCCCCAGATTCCTGGCCTTTCCCCAGAAATTGTGATCCAATATAGGGATTTTAGGTATTTTTTTAAAACTTCTGAAGTGATTCTACTGTGCAGTTAGGGTTAAGAATTACATTTTAGATTGAAAGAATGTTTTGTTCTTGGCATAAAGAAATGAAATATTTAAGCATACTTAGGAAAGTGCTAGTTAGAAGGAAAGTGGAGGGGTAGAAAGAGGAATGGTAGACACATATGGAGGAAATGAGTACTACTGTCCACCCTTGGTATCTGTGGATTCTGCATCCAGGAATTCCACCAAAATTAGGCTAGAAATAAGCCATGGAGAAATATGTCTGTACTAAATAATACCAGATAGCAACTATTTATATAGCAGTAACATTGCATTAGGTATTATAAATAATTTGGAGATTATTTAAAGTATATAGAAGGTTGTACATATTATATATGCAAATACAATGCCATTTTATAAAGGACTTGAAAATCTCAGATTTTGGTATCCACAAAAGGGGGTGGGAGCCAGTCTTCTGAGAGATTAAGGAATAAATCCATATCTGGTCTACCAAGGCTCTCAGCTAAGAAGCACATGTATAGTTTAAATCAGTGCCTTTTTCAGTGTTTGATTGATTTTGAGCCCAGTGTTCTTTTCAGTTTCAAAAACAAATAAAACTGAGGACCTGAATTTCTTGTCTTTCATTTTTTAAAAGTGGAGACAAGATTCACATAACGTAAAATTAAAGATTTTAAAGTATATAATTTAGTGGCATTTAGTACTTTCACAGTATTGTGCAACCTCTGTCTAATTCTAAAACAATTTTATCCTGTATCCATTAAGCAGTTACTCCCTAATCCCTAGCCTTCCATCAGCCCCTGGCAACCACCATTCTGCTTTCTGTCTCTCTGTATTTTCCTATTCTAGATATTTTGTATACATGGAATCATACAATAGGTGACCTTTTTGTTTCTGGCTTCTTTCAGTTAGTATATAATGTTTTCAAGATGCATCCATGTTGTAGCCTAATCAGTACTTCATTCATTTTTATAGTCAAATAATCTTCCATTCAATGTGTATACATTTGTTTATTCATTCATCTCTTGATGGACATTTGGGTTATTTCCACCTTTTGACTATTGTGAATACTATAGCTGTTGCTATGAATGTTTACATACAGTTGTTTGAGTACCTATTTTCAATTCTTTTGAGTATATGCCTGCTAATGAAATTGCTGAGTCATATAGCAATTCTGTATTTAACTTTTTGAGGAATCATTAAACTGTTTTCCTAGCAGTTGCACCATTTTGTATTTCCAGATGTGATGCGGTATCTTTTGTTCTGTTTTTATTTATATTATTGAATAATGATGTTTGTAGCTTTTCACATGCTTACTGGATGTTCAGATATCTTCTTTGGAGGAATCTCTGTTCAAATCTTCTGTCCATTTTTTAATTGGTTTGTCTCTTTTTTGCTGATGAGTGCTTAAGCATCTTTATGTATTCTTAATATTAGGCCCTTATCAGATGTATGATTTGCAAATATTTTCTCCCATTCTCTTGGGTTTTGTTACAGTTTAAGGCCTAAAATGAAGGTATTACATACTGCCTTGATGTCTGGTGAAACTGTGAGGACTTCTGAAAGGCCTTGCATTTCAGTCCCCCTGCTAGCTAGGAAATCACTGAAATATACTAATCACATCCTCCTGCTGGAAGCAGGGGTAATCTCTACTTTTGATATTATAAAGCTTGTCTGTCTAGCAATGAAAAAGAATAAAATCATGGCATTTGCAGGTAAATGGATGGAACTGGAGAATATAATGCTAAGTGAAGTTAGCCAATCCCAAAAAACCAAATGCTGAATGTTTTCTCTGATATAAGGAGGCTGATTCATAGTGGGGTTGGGAGGGGGTGCATGGGAAGATTAGATGAACTCTAGATAAGGCATAGGGGTAAAGCGAACGGAGAGGGCACGGGGGTAGAAATGAGGGTGGAATGAGACGGACATCATTACCCTAAGAACATGTATGAAGACACAAATGGTGTGAATATACTTTGTATACAATCAGAGATATGAAAAATTTTGCTTTATATGTATAATATGAATTGTAATGCATTCTGCTGTCATATATATAACAAATTAAAATTTTAAAAGCTGGTCTTAGACCCTATGTCTTAGTCTGATCACACTGCTCTATCAAAATACTATACACTGTATA